CCGGGCGCGCGTCGCCGCCACGGATGCCGCCGCGGCCGTCGCTGCCCAGCTGGATTCGGATCCGGAATTCCAACCGCCGCCGTCGCCGCCACCGCCGCCCTCGCCATCGTCTTGGACCTGCTTGGACCTGCTGGCGCCGGCGCCTCCGCCGCCACCTCGGACGGCGAGAGGTCGCCGCCGCCGCCTCCGGCGGCGCCATTGTCGGCAACAGCGGCAACAGAGGTTGGACCCACCATCAACCGCACCAACTGCGTCAGGCGCCCAGGGTCACGAAGTCGCGGTAGTACCTCAAACGCGAACGTGTCCTTCAGCATCTCGACGGCATCCAGCGGCGTGATCACGTGCATGTCGAGAAGCTGCATCGCCAGCAGCAAACGGCCCTCGTACGGCAGCTGCGTCAGCGCTGCCGTACCGTCGCCGCCGCTGTCGGATGCCGCCGCGCATGGATGATGCCGCTCGTCGTCGACGCCCAGAACGCGGCCGAAGAAGAGCTTGCGGACGACGGCGTCCAGTGCACCGCCGTGGGTGCCGTACAACCTTTCGCTGCGGTCGCCGCCGCTACCGTATGTGCCAGCGATCGGCGCGGCGGCGGCAGCGGCGGCGGCGGTGGAGGCGCGGATGTCGGCGGCAACGGCGGCCCGTAGCACGGGGGGCATGACACCTACGTTCCAGCACGCCGCCGTCAGCGCATATGCGGAACGCAGGGATAACACGCCGCCGCCGCCGTCGCTGCCGCCGTCACTACCGCCGCCGCCAGGGCATACGCTACTGCCATTAGCCAGTTCCGTCTTCGACGCTGGCTGTAGCTGGACATCCCCCGCCAGTGCTAGGTTGCCTGCACGCGCAGCCGCCTCGTTTGTTGCCATCATCGCCGTCACTGCCTCCGCAACCTCCGATCTTGCCGCCAGCCGCGTCCGTACATTCGCCTCCGCCAGCTTCACAAGCTCTAAGACTTGGCCCTGAACATTTTTTAAGGTGCTTGCCTCCGCCGCCGCAACATCAACCTGGGGGGGCCAATTTAGGCTTTCGCCGCCGCCGCCGTGACTGTCGTACTCGCCGTCGTTTACGTGGCCCCCATCGGTGGCCGCGGCGGCGGCGGCAGCGGCGCCGCCGCCTGACAGCCGCTGCCTCGCGAGCGGTATACTCGCCAACCACGCGGTCGCACAGCACAGTCTTAAATCTAGCAAATTCGATGGGCTAGCGACGACGTCGTCGTCGGCCGACGTCGCCGTCAGCATAGGATGCCGTACAAGTTGCTGCAGTCTTGGCACGAGCATGCAGTTATCTGCCGGCACGTACCAGTGCTCAGCGAGCACCTCCGCCACCGCCGCCAGCTGCTGCTGCCGCTCCCGCAGCTGTAGCTCCGGAACCCCATGACGGTCCAGACGCGAGGTGGCAGCTCGCAGTAGCCGATTGCTGTGGCGGAGCAGCTGGCGGCGGCACAGGGCGGCGGCGCGGCGGAGCCGCGCCACATCACCACGCGCCGCCGCCAGGCGTGCCACGTACTCCTGGATTTGCTGCCCCAGGACGTCCTCGGCATGCAGCGCCGACGGCACTGCATCTCGTAGACTGTCATCCGCCAGCGGCGCTTGTCCGCCGTCTTGTGGACAGCCTGTTGACGGCGGAAGCTGGCGGCGAGGCTGCCGTTGTCGCTCCTCGAGCTGCAGCCGCCGCTGCTGAGCCTCCACCAGCTGCCGTACCAGCTGGCCGTGCTCCGCCGCCGCCTGGCGCTCGCGAGCCTTGGCCGCCGTCAGCTCCTCCGTCGTCGCCGTCAGCTGCAGCTCCAACTGTCGTACATCTTCAGCCAGCTGCCAGCCCTGCCCTAGCATCAGGTGCTGGGCTTGTGGGACTTGCTCCATGTACGACGGAAGTACAGGTTGCGGCGGCGGCAGCGCAGGCGGCAACGGTGATGATGACGGACGAGGCGGCGGCGGCGGCGGCTGCCACCGTTCCAAGGTACTCAGCATGGCTAGCGTCTCTGCCGCCGCTAGCTCGGCACCGCGAGCCATCGCCGCCAGAACGACAGGGTGCGCTGGAGCCTGGCCCAGGCTGCCGTACAATTTTGCCATGTCGTACGCGTACGACATGTCCGGTGGCACAAGACGTGCCAGCAGCCGCGAGCTGCTGTCTAGCAGCGCCGCCGCCGGCCCTTGCACATCCGCCAGCGGCGGCGCCAATGGCATCGACGGCGGCGGCGCCGACGGTGACGGCGGCGTAACGCCGGTCCGCGGCGCGCTGTGCCGCAGCAGCTCCGCTGCTAGATGCATAATGCCGTACACAACACGTGGCGGCACCGCAAAGTGCAGATCCCCGTCATCAGGCTGCTCTCCCGCCGACTCCCACTGCCGCCGCGTCGGACGCTCCACCTCTATACCATACGACATATCCTGACGGCGATTTACGACATGCCCGCCGTCAGTGATCTGTGGATCTTCCGCCGCGGTGGCGGTAAACCCCAGTTCGATCCCAGCAGACTGAATTTGAACCTCTGAGGGGATGTACACATCCCCGCCAGGCGCAGGATTAGAAGTGGAAGTGGAACTGGGCGGCTCGTCCCATTCCGGCTGTACGGCCCCCTCTGCATCCGCGAGCTCCAACAACTCCGGCGACGCCGCTGCCGCCGCGGCAGCGGCCGCTGCTGCTGCTGGCGGCATGCGGGAATTGCGCACTCGCCAGAGCCCGCCAGCGCCGCCGCCGCCGCCTCCGTATCGTAGACCCTCTTCCGCATCCGACAACACGCGCTCGAGCCCTGCCACAAGCGGCGACAACCCATCCGGTAGCGCCGCTTGCGACGGCGGCGGCGGCGGCGGCCGTGACGTCACTGATGCCGTCGCTGAAGGCCATGGCGGCGGCGGCCAACTCCACTCGACGGGCTGCGCCATCAGCCGCTGCAGGAGCATGTCGTACTCGTGCGGCCGTACGAGCCGCCAGGCGACGCCGCCGTCGCCTCCAGGTGCCAGCAGCCGCGTAGCCGCCTGTCGAAGGGCCAGCGGCGGCGCCAAGTTGTTAGGGTGTAGCAGCAGCGCCAGCAGCGAGTCGAGCGGCAGTAGTGGCTGTAGCGGCGGCGACGGCAACTCAACTTGGGCATGCGGCAAGACGCTGTAACCCGGAGGAAAAAAGCCCTGCTGCTGGTGTTGCTGCTGGTGTTGCTGCTGGTGTTGCTGCTGGTGTTGCTGCTGCTGCTGCTGCTGCTGCCGCCCGCCTGTGTTGTCATGCTGGAGGAGGAGAGTGCCCAGAGCGTCCTTCGGAGCGGAAAGGAAGTGGGCGGAGGTTGCAAGGTTAGACAGGAGGGAAAGACGCGTCTGTAGTAAAGCTTACTGCTATAGTGTTGCTGGTGGTTACAGTGCGATCATGGGTTATATATAGTGTTACAACACTACAAGACTATACTGTTATGGTGTTGCTCTGGTGGCGGTTGTCTGGTATATGGATATGTTGGACTGCTCCATCGCGGTGTTTTACATGTTCGTGTGCTTGGGCGACACACGAAAGAAAGTACGACACGACACGACACGATACGACACATCCCATAGGTGATGATAGGGTACGACAGGGATACTTAGAGATGATGAGTGTACGACTAGGAGGGTTGCTACTGCTGCATCCAGGAAAGGCTGCTACTGCACGTGGTTGTGGTGGTTATGGTGGTTGTGGCGTGTGAGACCAGCTGCGGGTCTAAAGGCTATAAGGTTCCAGTCGGGGGCAGTAATAACCTGTCGTACATAAGAGAGGGGGTGAGGGAGGGGAGAGAGACGGGGTCATCCCGGTCTCCCCAGAGAGACACCCACTGTCCTCCGCCCCCCTCCGTCCGCTGCGCCATGCCCCCCCGCCCCCTCACCACTGACCTGAAGCCTCTCCCCCAGCGCCAGCATCGCGCTGGTTCGTGACTGTGCCGCCGCCTGCGAAGCAAACCAGCAAACCAACGGCACAGGGACAAACCCAGGTATAATAATGACAACAACAGCAACAGTAACAACAACAACAACAACATCAACAACAACAACAACACGCGCCCCCCTCCTGCGCTAACACAACAACAGCAACAACAACAACATGAATGATAAGCCCCAAATGTGAAGACCGAAAACCGAAGACACAAAAGCGTCCCAACCTGCGTGTGAAGTCACAGTCACCCCACTCATATGCTCTTGGTACTGCTGCATCTGCATTTCTGTGCTGTAAACAGCTTCCGTACATCTGTGCCCCTGGTCATTACCTCCCATAAATTCGTATCCACACATACCCTGCACATGCACACAAGCACCCCCGGGGGCCCCCTCCTCCCCCCCTCCTACTTCCCATTACTTCTCCGCCACCCTCTCACATCTCCCGCACCTCTCGCACCTGTTGCGGCTGCTGCTGCTGCTGCTGGTATTGGTATTGATATTGGTGGTATGGCGTCTGCCTCTGCAGCGCCACACAGGCGCATGACAGGGCGTGCAGGTCCGCAACCAGCGGAGCGAAAACGTCCTGAACTGAATCCGAAGAGACTTCTCCGCCTCCCCCTCCGTCTCCTTCTCCTCCTCCCCCTCTTCCTCCCCCTCCTCCTGCTGCTGCTGCTGTAACTGTCGTCGTGGTTAAAGGAGCTGTGTTGATGTTGTTGTTGTTGTTGGTGGTGGTGGTGGTGGTGGTGGTGGTGATCCCCGGGGGTGTCAAGACTCTTCGCTCTGGCGGGGGAAAGGGAACCTCCGAGCCGCCGGAGCAGGAGGAGGAAGAGGTCACCGCCGCCGCCTTGGACAGTAGCTGGGAGGCCTTATGGGCCACCAGCTCTTCTAGCCAGGCCTGTGAGCGTTTCGAGAGCGTTATAAGCGTTTTTTGTGTGTGTAAAGATCTGATGCGCCTGTGTGTGAAGAGTTAAGAACGGAACGTGGCGCGTACATTGAAAAGAGCGCGACAAACGGATGATGTGCATGGGGAGATGTATGTATGTATGTATGTATGTATGTATGTATGTATGTATGTATGTATGTATGTATGTATGTATGTATGTATGTATGTATGTATGTATGTATGTATGTATGTATGATGTGTGGAACAGGGGGGCATATCTTCACCCGTAGCAGCTACCTGGCGAAGCCCTGCCTTCCCCGGTATTTCTCATCTAGTCACTCTAGTCAACTTCTCAGTGGATCGCTCAGGTTCCGCACCCACCACCGGCATCCAACGGAATCTATATGTATGTATGAAGTAAAGGCGGCAGTATTCAGGGCACCGTTGCACGGACCAATACATGTCCAATCCGGGGGCCGTACCCGCGTGTTGCCGTACAAGTTCCGTGCCCGCATCTCAGCCCACGTCAGCGTCTTGCTACCTCCACCGCCGCCGCCGCCGTACTCGCCGCCGCGCCGCTGTAGCCGCCGCTGCTCTCTTCGCGCCGCGGCATCCGCCTGCTCGAATCTACTTGCCAACTCCCAAAGAAACGCCGGCGTCATGCCGTACCGTACGATCTGATCCCCGGCGGGCCACCGCAGCGCTCTGAGCACATCCGCCGACCACTGCGGCATTTGAACGGACCAGTCGCCCGGACGGGGCCCGGACGGCGCCGCTGCTGGCGGCGCTGGTGGCGGTAGTGGCGCTGGCGGTGGTAGTGGTGGTGGTGATACGGCGGGCGAGGCCCCTTTCGTAGCTCTAACAGCAGTAGTAGCAATAGCCGGGGCAGTAGCGGCGGGAGAGATATCGACGTGAGCCGCTGCGGCTTCACAAGCGGGATGGTATGATGGCGGCATGACGGAGGACTGTACGGAAACGTCGTACGGTGCCGTATGGCGTAGAGCGGCCGGGTCTGCCGGATCTGACATGGTGCGACTGTCGCCGCCACCGTAGCACCTGCCAGTACCAGTACGAGGTCCTGCACCCGTGCCGGCGGCGGCGA